TATAGTGATGTAGCTCAGTGATATAGTGCTCTTGGGTCACATTCCTTCTGCCACACATACAGACAGCATAATGCTAAACAAACAAATAAATAATTTTGAAAGAAAGAGCAAACAATATAGATGCCTCAGAGATTTATATTTCCTTTCCATGACTTAGAATGTGGCGCATGGCTGGGAAGAGCTTAGCCTGGCATTCCCTTTTGATAGAGCCCCATGCTGGTTCTCACCAATGACAGATGTAAAGGGGGAGAGAGGATCAAGGTCAGGGACACTTTCTCTTTGTTCCTTTTCCACTCTGAAGCCTTGGGGAGGGGCAGAGGCACATGTGATTAAGTCTTTAACCACCAATGTAAAAGTTCTAAGAATTACGATGGCTCTGAGAAGGAAACAACCTTTTATTGCACTAATCCACTGAGATTGGGGAATTTGCCTAGAACAGAAACAAGCAAAACTCTAACCTACAGAAAGTATATGATCAACTATTGCAGAAGTCTTGTGCCACATCTTCTATGTCGCTAGAAAAAAGAGACTGCCACGTAGGAAGTCAGAATCTTCCTTGAATCAGCTCCTCCATCAGGACGTCAGTGAGAGACATTTAATATTGTGTATATGTGAGTTTTAACCAGATCATTGATACTGTGATCCTGATTTCCCCAAATACAAGTACATTGTGAACATTGATTATTTGATTGATATTACCCAGGTAATGGTTCACGTATGGATGCATGCTGTTTGTAATGCTGCCCTACTCTGTATATATTTTTGGAGATATTATATAAGATATAAAATATCCTTTTTAATAGATTTGAATCCATGTGAAAAGAAAAAAGAAATGGATTGTGCTATGTTCAACAATAGAATTAAATGTTTGGCAAATTTTTTTTCCATAAATGTCTGCACAGTAAGTACTAGAGGTCTTTAGAAACTACCAGGTAGAAATGAGGATTGCAGAAGTTCTTTCATATCATTAGGAATTTATCTTTTGAGTTTTTTCAATCACTCATAAATGAGAAAAGAATTCTTCTGCAGAGGCAGTACAGAACAGGAGGTCCACTAGCTTTGGCCTGTAGGCTGCTATTTGTTGACCTCCATCCTAGAACAAAATAATGGAATGAATATAAAAAATTAGTTACTACAGATTAAAAGGGATATGCTGACATTGGACCTGAGGAGTCAGCAGCATAGGCACAGCGGTAGAGTAAGTATCAGTGACTTTCAATGATCCTCTGTGGGTCACATGCTGGGGACATTTGAAGGCGGTGGAATTTATCCAAAAGGGTGAGTGGACACTGCGTTCAGGACGTTTTATGAGTTGTTCCCTGGAAGAGGGACTAGGGCTTTCAGAGTGCAGTGAATCACTAGGATTGTTCTTCCTGGGCTCAAATTCTGCCAGATAAGAAGATAATCCAGGAGATCTGAGCTCCCCGAGACGGTTGGCCTGCCTGACCCTTTTCCCTCTCCAGTCTGGAGAGTCTGGTTCTCTTCTCTTTAATCAGACTTCTTAGCGACATGGGAGGTATCTATTTCCTGACTATCGCTCACCATAAATGTTCCACAAAACATTTGCTGACGGAATCTATGGGACTCTGCAAATTGCCTCCATCTTCAAGAGGAGAAAGAATAAATTCTTTGAACAGAAGGAGATGGGCTGCCTGAGGGAAGGGGCTTTGTGGTTTGAGGGGTTCAGGGGTTATGAATTCAACGCAAAGTTCACTCCTGTTCTTTTTAACCTTGGCTTGGAGAAACAGATCTGGGGGTTTGATTTTCATCCCCAGGCTGCATTACATGAGTGCTTTCAAAACGAAAGCAGGATAAACACGTTCCCCTGGCTTTCAGGCCCAGATAATCTCAAACGCCCTCCAGCCTCACCCACACATGACAGGGTGGGAACCTTCCCCACGAAAGGCTGAGTTTTCCAGTTTGACTCATAAACAGGCAGCACACAAAACCTCGGAAGCCCATTTAACAAGTGTCATCCAGGACTTACAAGCTGGCTGCAAAAATAGACAGAGAGCTCAGTAAAACATCCGCGGTTTCAGAGCTCCTGGAAAAATCTAATTCAGGCGCAGCCATCGGGGTTCTCTCAGCAAAAGTAATTTCCAGAGCTTACTTCTGGTCAGAGGCCGGCACTTTGATGGGTACTTAGGGAGGGTCCTATGACTTCCCAGAATTGCCAGGCAGCTGCCCGGGCTGGATGCTGCCCCCAGGGAGCGGGGTCAGCACAAAGTCTCCTGGGGCCCTCCTGTCCTCTAAGCAGGAGGTGCAGCGAGTTATTTCCAGGAGGAAAGAGCTCCACTTACCAGCCGCTGCCCTGCGAGGAGGATGGGGACAGAAAGCAGTCTGGGGGCAGAGAAGGCTGCATAGCTCATCATCTCTTTTCTGCATATTAAGTCCAACATTCTTTAAATAGACACTGAAAAGTTTGTTATTGTAAGCTTTCTTAAAAGACAAGCCCCACCTGTTTCTCCTGCTCCCCAGGAACCCCATACGTTTTAATCAATTCCCTCCTTCCCAAATGAGAGTCACGTCCCGGCCCCGCCCATATCTCAGACCCCAACTATCCCCATTCCTGTCCATAAATTACTAGTCTGGGTCTGATGTACCCTGGACCCCGCTCACCCGCCCCTCCCAACACTTTATGCTCTCTCTACCTGTGCCCTTGGGCCTGCTTGGTCTGCAAAGACTTAGGAGCTGCAGGCTGTTTGGGTGAATTCCAGAATCCTAAGGAGGGCTGGCCTCTGTGCCGGCAGGCATGAGATTCTGCAAACGGCCAGTAATTGCACTAACTTCCTGATCACTCCCTGTGGTGTTCAGTTATTTCTGAGCATTACCAAATTGCTCCTCTCCTAGGACAGGCAGGGAAAGTAAAGGACTTCAGTGGGTGGACATTCTTTGTTAGTCTGGGGAGACAGGCCCAGTTGTAAAAAACACACAAGAGCCCCTCCTGTTCAAACCCCAGCTTTGCTAACCGCCCCTCAAGTCTGGAGTGGGCCCTGATGGGTATCTCCTCCCTGCACCCCACCCAGTCTTGCCACATTTGGAGGAGGTGTGACCCGGCTCTAAGCTGGCCGAGGCGCCAGACCTCCACTGCACTGCTTGGGACTGGGAGTTTCATTTGCTTTAATCACACCCTGCTTAAGTGCCTCTCATTCTTAGAATGCTGTCAGCAGCCCTGCACACTCTAACAACATCTAGTGCTTCAAAGCTGCTAGCTGCTAGCCTCTTTTCATTGTCACTTGCCCCTAGTCTCCACTGTTCCTCCAGTCTCTGTACCATTTTTCCATCTTTCATCCTAGCACAGAAACACTCTCTGAAGCATTCAGCTAGGAGCTACAGGCCTTGTACACGTCAGCCCTGGTGTCCCTGTCTTGAGCTTTATCCCAGACTCCTGCCAAAGTGTGTCCTGCACCCAACTAAATTCTTTGTAAAGCTTCATAGGGTACTTATCTCCATAGTGCCGTGATCACACCAGCATAAGAAGTCCCCTGCAGGGAGGCCGTGGCCACCTTTTCTCACAATTGTTCTTCAGATACCTAGTACAGGGCTTAGAAGTAGGAACAGCACAGGGAAAATTGGTTGGTTGGCTAAGAGTGAATGTGCTTTTCCTTGCTTCAATCTGTTGGTGGGCTGAGATGATATTGTAGCCTCTGCACCTGCAGTCTGTGCAGATGGGTCCTCTGCAGGAAGTGCTGTGTGGGGAACTATCCTGGACTCCTTCTGCACTGCCAACTGCTCCCAGCACAACAGCTGTCCCTGTTCCCATTGGGTCATAGTCAAGTGGGCTTTTTTGTACCATGCCTAGAGACTCAATAAGCGAAGATTCATGGAGATACAGTTTGGCAACAGTGTGTCCAACAACATCTTCAGCGTTCTAGCTGAGGCCACATCCCATGAGATCTGTCCACGGAGGTGGGAGGAAGCCACGGGGCTGGTGGCAGCACTGTGCACCTAGAGAGGATATAGTGACCCATCCTGCTGTGCATATCTGCAGCACAATATGCAGGACAGGATATTACTCAAAAATGAAAATGAACAGATTCAGCATGGAGGAGAAACATGACAATCAAGGAAAGTCCAGTGCCAGGTGGAAAGAAGAATTAATACATATATCTTCAGATATATGCTGGTTGTCACTTGGAAGTTGTTTTAGATGTATAGATGTGCTTTGTTGGGGAAGACACATGAACTCTGGATTATAACAATATGTTATAATTGTTTAGGTTTTGTCCTGGAGGGAAAGCGCATAATTTTATTTCATTTCTGAAGGACCCAAAATGTTAAAAATCAAAATGTGATTAAAAGCCAAAAATGATGAAAGTCACTGCTGTCTATCAACTAGAATTAGAGATTAAAGGTAGGCTCAAGTAAGAGGTACCTGTGTCCAGCAGGAGCAAGTACAAAGGAAGAGACAGAGTGAGAAAAAAAAGCTTCCCACTGGTCATGGCGAGTGTTTCTAAAGCTGCCCTGGAACGGAGACCTCAGCCAAGGTCATCTCCTGTGTTTCGACAAAGCCTGGCCACTCCTGCAGTTTGTCCCTTTGTAGTTTGCAAAACTTGACCATCAACATGGGCTTTTGTAGCATTTGATATGTTAGTCTGGTATGAACCTTTTGCAGGATCTTATATTTTCTTTCTGAATGTCTTTCACTGTGTACAGTTGCTAGACAGAATTGGAGAAATCAGCCTCAGAACCAGCCCCAGATGGTCCCTGAAATGGTCTTGATTCAGGCAGCCCCCTGTGTAATTATCCAGGACCTCTCACAGATCCCCACAAGCCCCAAGAAGCAGCCAGCACAGGTGTGTGAGTACCCAGAAGTAGGTTGGAAGTTTTGGCCTTTCCTGCTGGGACACAGCGGGACAAGCATAGGCCAACATGAGGGTCTCACTCTCGCTCCCCAAATCCCCAAGAGTGGCCCTGCTTCCAGGAGCATGACAGGGCTGAGTATTAATTACTTGCTGAATTTCATGCAGAATAAAACCACATGTGTCTTTCAGCTGTGGTTTGGAAACATTTCCACCCTGGATATTATCTGTGAAAATTGGATGGGATTACATCACCTTGCTGCTGGTTTATGCATGTTCAGATTTCATGTCAGCAGAGCAGAGCAGGCGCTTCTGTGTGCTTCCTCTGGGGCCCTCTCAGACAGGCCACAGGCAGATGGAGGTATGGGAGGCCTGGCTTCCACCCACACACTGTAGAGGCTGTGTTGCCATCTCAGGGGTCTGGAGTTGACTCTGCAGACAGCAGGAATCCCAGGACAAGTTTGTTTTTGAAACACTGAGTGATGCTCAGTGGTAAAGTATTTGCCTAACATGTGTGAGGCCCTGAATTCAATTCATCACACCACAAATGAAGGAAGCAAACCATCAAAGAAAACCACTGAGTGATGGGTTCATATTAGCCTGGGGGCAGAATGGAATAAACAGAAGGTCAGAAAAGCCGGGGCAAAAGCAAAGGAGCATTGGCCCAAGAATAGCAGATAAAAGATAGGAGGAAAGGTTCAAAAATATTTAGGATAACCCAGTCATGGTGATGCACATTGTGGGATACTGAAGGACTTTCAGAAGGACTGAAAGTTTGAGCCCAGCAAGGGCAATTGAGTGATTTAATAAGATCATATTTCTGAATCAAAAAAAATTTAAAGGGCCAGGCAAGTATCTCACAGCAAAGATTCTGGGTTCAATCACCCACCCTCCATTGCCCTGCCAACGAAGAAAAGGAAGAGAAATAAAAAGTGGGTGACTGGTTAGTGAGGGGAAGAGAGTGTCTTAAAGGATTCCCAGATTTTCCAGCCTAGATGGTGCTGCAGGGTAGAACCAGGTCAAGTAGAATTAGAGATTACACAGAATGGGTCTCAGGAAAGTGGCAGGCACATTGCATCTCCAGGGCAAGTAGGTAAGTGTACCTGATGCACTGGTGTGAAGCCCAAGTTGGCTGTTTGGTGTTGTATGAACCCTCACTGTGGGTAAGACCCCCCCTGGGGCAGCAGTCATGTGAGGAAGCAAGGTGATCTAAGGAGAAACTCCTGAGAACCCGGCTTTCCATTACTGTGATAAAACACCTGAGACAATCTGCTTTTCAGGAAGAAAGATTCATATTGGCTCAGAGTTACAGAAACATCAGTCCATGGTCACTTGGCCTGATTGCCTTAGGACTGTGATGGCACCAGGCACCATGGTGGGACCACATGGTAGAGGAGGAGAGTGGAAAGAAAAAGAGAGGGAGCTTGAGGCTTGAGGCCTGGCTCCCAATTGCCCTTCAAGGGCAGATCCAGTCATCTGACTTCCTTCCACTAAGGTTTACCTCTGAAATGTGCCACAGCCTGGGATCTGGCCTCCAACATATCTTTGGGGGACATTCACCATCCAAACTACAGCATCAAGCTTCCAGTGGAGATTGCAAAAAGAAAATGCTCAGTTTGGAAAATATGTCTCAGATAGGAGTAAAGAAGAGAGTAGCAGCCTTGGAGGGAGGCCACATCAAGAGGAAGTTATTAGAAGAAGACTGTAGGGAGAGGCTTCGAATAGCTGCTGCTGCCCTGCCCCTCCTGCCTGAGGGCATTTTGTGTGTCAGCCTACATTTCCCATGATCCTCATGTCTGCCTACATTACCCATAATCTTCTCCTGTTTACGTCTATATCCAGATGTGATGATGACCTATCAGATAACACTCTGTGCCCTCTTCCTGCCCTTGGCCCGCCCCCCACCCTATATAAGTTGTAGCCATTTTAAAAATAAACGAGAATCGATTGGAATCGCATCCTTTCCTGTCTCCATCTCTCTTTTCTCTTGCCCTGCCCCCATCCCCGATCCCCTCTCCAGGTGAGACCCACGGACTGGTCCGCAGGCCGGATCAAGTGGTGCCCGACGTGGGGTGGATCAGAAGACAGGTGTGTGTAGAATTCCAAGAAGTGAGTTAATAAGATGTCTCAAGGATAGGGACAGAAGAAGTTCTTTACAATGTTAACAGAGAGAACACTGGTGATTTTTGCTGGAGCAGCTCAGGCTGAGAATGAAGCTTCATTAGGAGAAGTTGAGATGAGACTGGGTGGTAGAAGAGGGAGAGAGGAAGCATTTCAATTTGGAGGGATACTTAACTTGCAAAAGAAGAGAGGGGATAGGTCAAATGCAAAAGGTTCCAATGAAGGAAATTGCTGAATGTAAGAATTTTTGTGAATGGGTTGTTTTGTTTTATTGAGGGAGACTTGAATGCATTTAGGAACCAAAGAAAGGGAGACTAAAGAGAAGATGGGGTAAAGACAAAAGGGAACAGTGAGAAGGGATGGCTCCGAGTCCTTGAACTGAATTAGTCCATACCACCAGCAAGGACTAACTGACCAAAAAGGGAAGGCCAGGGAGGCCACAGTATGGTAACTGCACTAATGCCCAGAATCGCAGGATTTCTTACTAGGTTTCAACATCTGAAGGGTGGTAGCTGGCATGGAGTTGTCCACTTGCAATCACCAAACAGCTGAGCATGTGGCCATGGAATTCACCTGGGAGGAAAGAAACAAGGGGTCAAGGTTTCACCAGAGCCTAGTGAAAATGAGGAGTGGTTCATAGTGGGCTGAAGGATGTGAGTTTTAAGTCCAATACATCCAAGTGTGAGCCCAGCTCCCCTCCCAACAATGGGGATTGTTTTGGGGCAGGATCTCATTAAGCTGCCCAAGCTGAGCTTGAACTTCATGTTCTCTTCCCTCAACTACTCTGAGTACTGGAATCACACTCAACCACTTTGTAGCTCTTATCTCTGATTAGTGGCCCTGGGGCTTCTTGTGTCCTACAGATTGTGGTGCTGGCCAGGAAGCTCCTCACACTCTACCCGTGGAAATCAGGAGTGATCTTTCCTTGGAACGATGTCCACACAGACTCATGGTTGTTCCCGACAGTGTCTGAGGCAAAGGGTGGGATGTCTTTGGATGCCTTTCTGCAACAAAGTCAATGATGTGAGAACTCTGTTGTTTAAGGATTTGTCCGTGAGTAGATAAGACCAGGGCAGAAGCTGGATTACCAAGGGGAGATGTATCAAAATGAAACACCTGATACAAGTGCAAAATCCAAGAAGGATCTCAGGACAGCAGGCACAAGTCAGGTTTTCCCTAGATGAAGGAGGAACAACCACAGCCACTGGAAAACACCAGCTCAGCGACACAGCTTCAGAAACAGCTGGGCACTGGTTCAGGCCTGGCTACAGGCAGCTGTCACTCAGCCTGGTTCCCCAGACCAATGATTCTCCCCGCTCTAACACAACTGCAAACACAGGCATTTCCAGGCATGGCTTGACCTTGTCCAAACCATGGGCATGCTTGGCAGTCTTCCATTGCAGGCTCTTTATGGGGTTGTCATTTTGTCTGAGGGGCAGCAATTCAGGGTAGCTGTTTCTGCCCTGAAGATCAGCTTTCGTCTTTGAATTGAGAGTTCTGGTTTTCAGGCCACAACATAGGCTAGAAGCTTCTGAATGAAGATAAGAGTTATATACACACCCGACATAATATAAAAGGCCCACTCAATCTCTGTGTTCCACTGTTATAGCTGATGGTTTATGATAAGTTTGACCTTATCATTTCTCTCATAACGTGTAGAAAGCTCAAGCTGGTCATGGTGTCCTATGCCTAAAATCTGGCAATCCGGGAGGCTGAGACAGGATGATTCTTATTGGAAGCTCAGCCTGAGCAACTGAGTAATTTATTGAGATTCTGTCTCAAAATTTAAAATAATAATAATAATAACAATAATATTAATAATAATAAAAGGACTGGGGATGAAGCTCAGTTCAGAGGCCTTGACTTCAATTCTTAGTACTACAAAAATAAAAACACCTTGGAAATATAATAGCCCTCTTTATTTCACATCTTGCTTTGAGTTATTTTATTAGACTTCTTTTCATCCATGAAACATAAACAAATCTGAATTAAGCATGGTGCAGGAGTGGGCTTGCAGATCAAATGGACAAAGATAGGGTGAAAGGGCAGACAGGTATGTGGGGTCCCAGAAAGGCCAAGAGAGAGTGTGCCCCAGACAAGTTACCTGCTGTGTTACTGTGAGGACTAGTCTACTGGAAAAGCCTGCCTATTTCTTTGTTTTGAATTTTGACCTTATAAACATGAAGGTGAAATTACTCGATGGGGTCCTTTTATGTTGTCCCTATGTGTGATGTGAACTTGGCAGCAAAAGTGGAAAGCGGGAGGTATTTCAGAAATGACTGGCCTTCCAAGCTCTTTGGAAATATTTAACGTCTGAAGTACTCTGATTGTCGGCATTCACAACTTTAACGAACATGCAAAGTGACGGGCGCTCCGTAACTGAATGTGAACTTTTCAAGCTTTATTTTATGAAACATAGTCTATGCACAGGGATATACGTTTTATATATACTCTAATGCATATATACAAATACACAGGTACACAGTACATGACAATACTATTTAAAAATAATAAAGGAAGGAGTAAACAAACTTTCTACATGTAACAACAGTGGTCCATTTCATGAACAAACTACTGAGGAAAAAATAGGCTAAAAATGTACATACTATTTGACTTCATTTATATATAGTTAATAAAAGACAAAACTCATCTCTGATGATGGAAGTTAAAATACTAGTTCTCTTTAAGAGGGATTAAGGACTAGCTATTCTTTTGTTTGCTATCTTTTTTTTTTCCCCACTAAGATAGTGGTATAGAGGTTAGGGAGTTTGGATCCTGGAGTAATGGGAATCTTTTGTAAGTAACAGCTTATTTGTGTCTGTTAGTGCATTTTTGTGTATAACAAGTGTGCTAAAAGTTATATAGCAAAGACTTGAGAACCTAAGATCCAGATAAATAAACTCTGTTGTTTTTTGCTGTTTGTTTTAGATGCCTCCCTGTGCCTCCCCAGAAACTGTAGTGATTGTTTCTAGATTACTTAGTGCTGTGGTTTTCTTCATGACTTAATGACTTTCACATGTATCCACGTAATATATTATAGTGGATCTTCATATCCTCCAGTTCTCTTATCTATAAATTTAACCAACCATGGATCAAAAATATTCTTTAAAAATTGTACCTACATTGAACACGTATAGATTTTTCTTGTAACTGTTTGCTAGTCAAAGCAGTATAGCTTTTTAATGTAGCATTTCCATTGTATTCAGTACATAAGTCATCTAAAAACAGATTAGATTATGCAGGAGGATACACACAGGTACCATTTGTGTAAGGTACTTGAGCATCCACAGAGAATGGACTCTCTCAAGGGGTCTTGGAACCACTCCATCATGATTCCTGGAGAAGGAATAACTGTATTTCTGAAATTCTTGGGTGGAATCCTGCTGTCTGCACGATGACTGATAATTTTGCTTACTATTGTGTTTTTACGATTTTTCTAAGTCGACATATAAAGCTGTAACCTGTTTCTTTGCACTGCTTTATAGTATTTCATTGGACAAATACAGCCCAGTTTATTTGACTATTGGTGGCTTTCTTTTTCAGTTACTTACCATAAAGTGGAAAGGCTTTGAGATCTCTAATTATGATATATTTATAGATTCTAAGTTGGAGAATTGTCAGGTGTATTTTGATTGTTATTTTTTTTCTTTTCTTCTCAGTAAAGTGGACATACATTTCACTATCTTCTAGTTTTCACGTTTGATGCATTTGAAGATAAATTTTGTTTTGTCTCCAGCTTCTTTTACTATATTAAAGAAAAATATCACAATCTTCCTTCTTCTCTATCCTGAATGCCAATTAAGTAAAATTAGATCTTTTAACTCTATGTTCTGTAGCTCCTCTATCTTTGTTCTTTATTCTGGATAAATGCTCATCTCAGCCTTTCAATTGATCACGTACTCATCAGCTTTGTCAAATCTGCTCTGAAACACATTCATCTGGTTTAGCAGTTTCATCATTGTATGTTTCCTTTTGATTTTATTTGATTTTTATTTCAAAGCTTCCTAGTTTTTCCTTACAGTCTTTCATTCCTCCCGTATCATCTGAAATGTGTTATGTCTATTTATTTAAACATTTGAAAACACAATTGTTTTGTTCCTCTGTCTAAAATCTTCACTGCACTTCACAAAGAGAAATCAGCTCTTTGCTGCTTCTCATGTTTCTATACTTGCTTGATTTTTAAAATGGGAACTGCTAATTTTCCTGTACAACTTTATTTTTTTGCCTGTGTACAGTAAACTCTCAAGGAATGAAACAAAAGCGGGTAGTTCTGAAGTTTTTATGTTCTTCTGTTAGGTAGTAAAGATGTAGGCTAATTCAGACAAAATTCCAGTCAAAAAACTTGGCGTACGTTTGTTCAATGAAACTGGAGGAGCAAATCCACATGAAAGCTGCCCTATAAATACAACTTTTAGGTTCGCTTTTTCAACCCATTGTTAGGATTGGGAAATGGGCCAGTTCACTCTATTATTCCTGTTTCCTTTTCACCATTTTCTGTAGGAGAGTAGGAGAAGTTATTCCTAATTAAACTGCAGACCTTTGGTGTTACAACTCTATGGGAAACATCTTGCATAAGATAGCCTTACTTGGAAAAGGCCAAATGTTTACTTTCTGACTCCTACAGTTCACAGTCTCATAACAAATTGTGAGCCTTTGCAAATAATCTCAAGGAAAAACAATGGATGAAATTCTGTGCTTGCTGTGCAAGTGTACACTGTCCCCTCAACTATGGTTTGAACATTTGACTTCTATTGTTATTACATCGGTTACTTTTCCAAATCAATCATTCAACAAAAATTTGTGGCATGCTTAATATACCACCTGTTCTGTGTGGTGCAGATGCAGTAGTGTAAACCCAGACAACACCTTGTGCCCTTAAAGGAATTTATATCATAACTATTGAGTTGTTGTTTTAGTAAGATGTAAAAAATTTTTTTTTTTCATTCGGCTTTTTTCTTGTTGTCTTCCACTGGTGATTCCAAGAACCTGGCTCGGTGTAACTATAAAACCAGATTTTTTTTTCCTTCAGTCAAGTCCTGTCAAGAATGAGATGGTGACATGTTTTACTGTTATGGTTTAACACACCTTGGATTTAGTGTTTTGAAATGAACAAAGCCTGGATAAAAGCCCTGTTCCATTTCTTACTAAGCCTAAATCTCCTTCTTAATTTTTATAATAAATTAAATGTATCCTCCTTAAACTAAAAAAAATACAATCCTGTCCATTTTCTTCCTGCTTAAATAAGTCAGTTGATTATGTCTCCACCAGTGTGATTGAAAGACATTAACTATATGATGAGAGTTAAGTCGCCATGTAAAAATTATTCAAATCTAAATATTCAAACTGTTTTTGAAATACAGAAATACTCTAAAGGCATTTCGTATCACACCCAAAGTCAGGTTAAATAACTTGCTGCTCACACCAAATTAGATTCCCTTGAAGGGAGAGAAAGTGTGAGAAGGTCTGGTCCTGCCAGTGGAAAGGGTTGACTTTCCTGTGCTTGCAATTAGTCCAGCATTTGTAGATGAGCTATTTTCCTGATGTGATGGTAAAGCTTCACTATACCAACTTGA